AAACGACGAAACAGCAGTTTTGAACCGAACACAGCGGTGGAGATGCTCTAATACGCAAGGAAGAGTTGGATTCTGCAGAGCGTCTGATATGGACAATAACACGACAGTAAACACAACAAGATGTCCGTTTAGATAACTTTTTCACTGTTTTCACAACCCGAATTATGCTCCAAATAGACGATTATCATAGAGAACTGTACTTTCCACTAACAACCGGTTCGATTTTACAAGTCTATAGCACGGGAAAAAACAAGAACGATATCCCGTATGATAAAAAATCATCAAATTTAACAGCGCAAAATCCCGACGATGTGAATAACATCAAAAATAATTCAGCCTCATTTTATTGTAGGGCAAGCACAACTATGCTCTATACCCCGGGAAGTCGAGAAAATTTCAAACCAGAAAGATTTTCTGGCAACCCTTTATCAATCCTATACTTTTGACAGTAGGCTACATCACGGATCTTATTTAAATACGGCCCGTCTGACGTATACATGGTGGAAAGGGACGAAAATCGTGTTATAAGCAGAAAGACTAGAGCAGATGATAGCATCAAAAACATGGCCGCTAGCCAGGCCCCTGAATTGAACCCCCCCGGCTACTGACACGGCTTTGAGCCCTCTACACTAATAAAATTCCACACATTTTTATAGACGAATTTCCATGAGAAATTCCACATGATTTTCATGGGACCACACATAAACAGAATCCACCCAGCAGCACACATGAAATTTATGAGTCAAATGAATAGTATTTGGTGTTACACATGGCTTTTATGTGTACACATATTAAGTATGTGTCCGACACATATGGGTCCAGGGAAGTTTCCATAGTTACGGCCGGTGTTACCGGCCGAAAGTGAAGTTCTCGAAGTCACCAAAGAAGCGAAGCCATGGGAAGAACTCGGCGTTCCGGAGATAACTTGGAGCCTTCTGGAAACCATACTGCAGGCTAAACTGGTGGCACTTCAAGTTAGAATGCGCCAGTGGTGAGCGATGAGAGGATTCCAAGCGGCAGTATTTTGCTTCCGGTGGTGCAGGAACTGAAAGGACGCGAGAACTACTTGGCCTAGACGATGCGAATGGTGATGTTCCGTGAGAGAACCTGGCGCGCAGTAGATTCCCCGGAAGGTGTTCAAGTCGACCAGGATTTGTCGGACAGAGCGTTGGCAACCATCTGCCTTAGTATTGAACCGTACAACTACAGCCTGGTCCAGCGGGTCAATACTGCGAAGGAGGCCTGGAACAGTCTGAAAACGGCGTTTCAAGACTGCGGACGATACCGGAAGATAAGCTTGCTGAGAAAGTTGACCAGGCTGGAGCTGGAAGACTGTTCGTCCTTCGAGGAGTACGTCGACGAAATCATGTCCACGAGCCACAAGCTGGGAGAAATTGGTTTCGTGTTGGATGATGAATGGTTGTCACTGATCCTGCTCATGGGCCTCCCAAAGAACTACGAGCCCATGATCATGGGACTGGATGCCTCAGGTATCAAGCTCACGGCGGATATGGTGAAATCGTAAATTCTTCAAGACGTCGCCATGGATACCAATTTCAAATCAAGCGGTGCTGCCGGAGCGCTAGCCACTCGTGAAAGGAAGTTCCAGAAGAAGAAGGATAAGTCCGGTGTAAAATGTTTCAAATGCGACAAGCTTGGGCACTACGCGTCCGAGTGCCAGGTGAAGTCGAAGCCCGAGAAAGAATTCCATGGAAAGCAAACGGCTTTGATGGTGTGCATGAAATCGATGCTGGAGACGGAAGACTGGATTTTGGATTCAGGAGCAGGACGGCACATGTTTGAATCCGAGCAAGCACTTATCAACTAGAAAGAAGTCTTAGAGAGCATTTTTGTGGCCAATTCAACCGAAGTACCTGTTCCGGCCGTCGGCAGCGTCAAACTGGATGCCGATGTAAAAAGTATGTGCAGTACTCTAAATATCGCTGATGTTCTGTTCGTTCCAGACCTAGCGGTCAACCTGCTCTCGGTCAGCCGTATTTGCAAGAAAGGGTACCGGATCAATTTCTCGAGGAACTTTTGCGAGGGAGCCAGCGAGTCCACCGGTGAAATCATCGCAGCCGGTACGGAGGTGGATGGGCTATACACGCTGAAGCAGTTCAAGCCTGCCTGGGCATTCGTGGCAAAACCCGGGGAGAAACTGAAGCTGTGGCATAGACGGTTCGGCCATCTGAATCTGGACAATGTGAAGCGTTTGCCGTCAATGGTTGCTGGGATCGAAGTCCCTGGCCAGGACATACCAATGTGCATCGAGTGCGCTGAAGGTAAGCACCACAAGCGATCCACTGAATTGCTGGAGGTAGTTCATTCGGACCTATGCGGACCAATGGAGAAGACATCGCTAGGAGGAAGCAAATATTTCATTACCTTCATAGACGATGCCAGCCGGATGACACACACTTACTTCCTGAAATCCAAAGCTGAGGCATTTGATGCGTTCGTGGAATTCAAAGCGTATGTCGAGAAGCAGACAGGCAAAGCTATCAAGCGTTTGCGGACCGACAACCGGTTCCGTATGTCGGAAATAAATTCGAGCAGTTCTTGAAGGTATGCGGCATCCGTCACGAGACCTCGGTTGCCTACAATCCGCAACAAAACGGACTTGCGGAAAGGATGAACCAGTCGATCGAAGATGCCAGACGTTTCAAATCTACGAGTTTTCGGATCGAGGGTAATGGCGTATGTCGCAAAAGTTAATCGGAAGAAATGGGATCAGTCAGAGGCATGTGGAGCAATAATTCAAGTAGCAATGGTATGTTTCCGTCATCCTCTACTCCACAGATTGCTAGCGAACCCGAGACGCTTCAGCAGGCACTAGAACGACCGGACTGCGATGACTGGATCGGCGCAGTGGAGCATCGGTCGTTGTGCGATAACGATCTAACGGCGGGACGGAGAGCACTCAAAAATAAGTGGGTGTATGCGCTGAAGACGGGTCCGAATGGCTCCATCGAACGACATAAAGCCCGACTGGTTATTAAAGGGTATTCCCAAGTCAAAGGCTAGGATTATGACGTAACGTATTCTCCGTGTGCTACCTCTTGGCAATGGCTGCCAAATACGATCTGATGGTTTGCCAAATGGATGCGGTGACTGCATTCTTGCAGTGTAAACTTCATGGAGATGAGTTCTACATGGAATTACCGGAAGGTTTCCAAGACGCGCGGGCACCGACGAAGGTGTGCCGACTCAAGAAACTCAAGGCGATTGGGTTCCAGCGATCTAATTATGACTCCTGCGTGTACTTCCGGTTCGGCGACGGAAAGGTGATCATCATTTCTGTCTATGTGGACGACTTTCTACTGTTCAAGTCCTGGTGGACGAAGTCAAGCAACAATTGTGTTCAGAGTTCCAAATGAAGAACATGGGGGACGTCAAGCACATCTTGGGACTGCGGGTCAACCGATCGGATGTCATGGTAGCCATAGACCAGGAGCTTTACATTGACAAACTTCTGCAGCGATTCCGGAAGGAGGGAGCCAACTCCATATCGACACCCCTGGACGTGAACCAAAAGTTGACGAAAGTGATGTAACCCGAATCTGTGGAAGAGAAAGAGAAGATGAGAAGCACTCCGTTCAAGGAACTCGTCGGTGGTTTGCAGCTTGTGGCGCAGTGCACTCGACCAGATATCAGCCACGCGGTGAGTGTCGTCAGCAGCTTCAGCCATGAGCCTGGAGCAACCCACTGGAAGGCAGCCAAATGAATTGCGGATTGGGCGAACGACGTCAAAACTCGGCGTTCCATTACCGGCTACGTGTTCCTGCAAAGTGGAGGTGCTATTTCTTGGAGCTCGAAAAGGCAGTCCACCGTAGCACTTTCCACCACCTAGGCTGAATACATGGCATTCTCTTCTGCCACCCAGCAAGCGGTTGAAATTTCCGTTCCAATCAACTGCGATAACAAGAGCGCAATAAGTCTCGCGGAGACGAATGTCGGCCTTTCTTCAAGAAGCAAACATATAGACATAAGGCATCATTATGTAAGATATCATTTAGATTGTAAAACTATTACATTGAATTATGTCCCATCTAACCTTCAGGCAGCAGATATGTTCACGAAAGCACTAGCGAACACAAATCTGTTTGAAAATAGACAAATCTCGATGAACATTTCAAATGGTCCTATCTGCTTTGATCGATTCTCTTCATCGACTTTCTCTTTCGTTAATAACTTAGCTGCAAAATCTTTCCCTGTTGTATTTGACGTTTTTGACGCTAGATAAGAACCTCCTTTATCAAACTATGTGGTAGAATTAGCGCGAAATCTGTTTGCATAGCAGTGGTTATGAAAAGAGAAAGTCGATGAAGAGAATCGATCAAAGCAGATAGGACCATTTGAAATGTTCATCGAGAAATGATAGGAATTCAGGATTTCCCGCTTAAGGGGGATGTTAGAACAAAGTAAGCGTTGGTATAATTGTTCAATAAAACTTCATTTGTTACTTGCACTCTAACTTGAGTAGACGTTTCTATCAATTTCAAGCAGGGCTCTCGATTGGTAAGGGGTTATTAAAAAATAACACCCCCTCCCCCTCTCCGGTCACACGCATCATCCAATACTTATTACGTTCACTGTAAAAATTCCCCAAAACCCCCTTCTCATCCTCAGGAACTGAAGGGCCTCGTTACAGGTGTCATTTCACGGTGAAAACGAAGTGAAGTGACCAGTTGTCACTCACGGTGAAGTGATTGTGTGTAAATCAAATGGGAATCACTTCACCGTGAGTGATACGTTATCACTTCACCGTGACGTGACATTGGTAATAAGGGCCGAAGACATATTTGAATCACTCCTAGCTACATAAAAACTCCCCCAAGCTAGATATTCTCGTCAAACTATGGCCATACGTTCCTTACGAATTGAATTTTATTATGAGACAGTTATGTGTGCAACGGCACATAACGATTACAATTTTGAAAATCATTAGTAAATTTAACAGATTTTTTTCATTCAACAAACCTCTCCTTTCTTCCGTACAGGTACGGTGGCTTCCAGGCATGTCAGTTCTGCTGCATCAGTTCGCTCGCGATGCAGTTGGAGTACGACCAGACGGCCAACGTGTACACCTACGCCAAGCTTTACCACAACAAACGCCCGGGCATTTGGAGCTCGTACGAGGACATCCGGCAAATTTACCGGATACTGTCGTACATGCCTAAAGAGCTGGGCCTGCTCAAGTGCACCGAACTGCGGACGGAGTTTGACGATGCGGCCATCATGACGGCTACGCCCGATTTGTACAGTAAGATTTGTAGTAACGGTAGTATTAACACGCATCTGAATAGTAGCGGAGGCGGCGGCGGTGGAGGAGGCGATGGAAACGATGTTGGACCTACGGGGAATGGTACGAACGGTGGTCTATCAATGGGAGGAGGTGGTGGCACAACCACTACGGTAACTAGTATTCAAAATGGAGGTACGGTAATTGTGAAAATGAACGGTGAAGATAATGACGAGCTGTCGGTGGTGGTGGCCACCAGTAATCATCTGAATCTGGATCACAATCAGTCGTAGGTTGGAAAAGTATTTACAAATTTTTAAATTCCTCTAAGTTAACCAGCGTAGGCGTATTAGTCATGAATCTAATTTTAGTACAACTGACAGTCGAGTTTTTTTTTAATATTTTACAAGTCTATGCTAAGAAGAACGGAACTGTCGTATTTAGGTAATGTGGAGTGCATAATTATTTATTGATCAGCTGAATATTTCGGGTGGTCAAATGCATTTTGCTAAGACAAAATTTTGTGACAATTTTAATAGAGAGGAGTTGCATGTTTACTGATCTTTACTTTTTTTTTAATTTTTGGCTTTTGCATCTCAGAAAATATCTTCATCATAAATTTTACAATCAAATGTATAAATTAACTTGTATTTTCCTGACAGTGACGAATACTCCAAGAATCTAGTCGAAAAGCGAATGTTATACACAATCATTTTTGGTTTATTACGTTTTTCATGCATTGGCAGCGTATATTATGCGAAAATTATGAATTTGCTGGCACTACCCGAAATTGATAATCAAATCGAGTTTTGTTTTTCTTTTGTATTCGTTGAATAAAACAAAAGAACAATTTCCGTTAAATGTAAATAGGAAAAAAAAATTCACATGTGATTCCAGTGAAGTAAGTTTTCGGTTCAGTGTATAGGTTAGATCTCGCTTCCACGTGCATTTTCTGCCATTTTATTTTGGGATAGACGCTCTGCTTTGTAAAAAACAGGTATTTTCCCACAAATATTAGATGACCGTGACCGACCCAAACTAGACTATTTAAATCTCTTGACAGTGCGAAAACAAGTTAGCAATCTAATTATATAATATTAACCGAAGGCCGATAAACCGCGAATTCTGCTGTGCAACTGAACTCAGCCGGAAGAAAGTATTGTGAAAGAGAATATGTTTGCGTACCGTACATTTGGATGCATCGTGACCGAGAGGGACAGTTTCTTCTGACTGCTCGGACGACAAAAAAAAAAAGACTGGTTTTCTAATTTCTTATTGTAATGTTACATAACCATGGTATGCAAATCGATGAATCGAGGATGATGATTCACTGTGCAAACCGAAAGCAGAATCATTATAACCTAATGCAATTATAACCCTATAGGAAAATATACCTTGGAGTAAATTCTAATCCAGAAACAACAAATAAAATACTCTTACATTCATCAAACAATAGATGTTCTAATGTTGAAAATTTATGGCGAAGTGAAAACAAAACTGACTTTTCCAGCTGCAGTGCCAAAAAGTCGCATTCCGTCAGCCCATACTAGTGTTGAGCCATTGCATTGGTTTCAATCATCATCATAATTTGATCGTAGGGTATCGTACGGTTTCGACAGGTTTTCCTCTCAACGAAATTATCTGAAAGATAGGCATAGGGACTGACAAAGCCGTTCGACATCTTACATTGTCATTCTTGTTGGTGTAGATATCAGAAGCAAACGAAACATTATTTCCCATACCTACAGATGAGTAATACGGTTAAACAAATAGTATAAATAACAGCCAGAAACAAGCGTGTTCCGAAAATTTGTAGATATGAAAACATTCAAACAGTTGATGAAACTCAAAATGCAGAAGAATGCGAACATGCATTGAAATCTGGTCAAAACGCACATAGCCTTGATTTAGGAAAAACAAAAAAATAACGTAAGATCATTGATTACAATATTCTTTCGCCAGAGGAAACAAATAAATAAATCCCGTGACCTTTCCACTTCAAATTCAAACAATTAAACAAACAAATGATATAAACATGCGAAAATGTTCAAAACAGGTACACGTACTAGTTGAATTCGTCGTAAACTTCGAGTAAAATTTACACAAATAAGAGTACTAACGATAAACACGAGAACAAAACTAGTTAAATATATCCACTATTAGACGAAGAATATAAAAGTAAACCCGATCTAACGAAAAGAGATTTTATAAATCTTATGAGATATTCTCGATTTTTACTATAAATTGCCCTTTTTTTTATTCATTAAGCAACGATTAGTTCTGAATCATTTTGATTACCCGCAAGCAAATCGACGGATAATTATGACTGGATAGAACTCAATCCCCTGTTAGTAACAGAAAGGCAGAGAACGCGGTTTGTTGACTGAAAATAGAAATATGTAACTAGTAGCGCATGGATTGCAACCGGGAGAAAGGAAAAGGAGAAGAAACCCTACAACCTATTAAAATCTATGAAAAATTAGCGACTAGCAGTACAGTAAATGCAAAAACTAATTTTTAGCAGTCATACAAGCAAGTAGAGAACGGTAAGGATTAAGCATATGTTTAGGAATTATGAAGTAACAGAGACAACTGCTAGGCTAGACGAGTGGAAGAGCAAGTAAAAAGAGTCGATGAGAGCGGGCAACTACCGTTTGAAAGGCAAACATGATGAAACATACTGAAAAAGTAAATGTAAAATTTTATGTGAAATTGCATCAACTGACTGTGTTAGTGTAATGTTATACGAAAGAAATCCTCACATATGTGTCTTTGTACAATATTACATACATAAATCTCCTGAGAGCATCGTAGATAGTTCTGTGCACCAACTACTTCCTGCGAACCTTGGCTGACAACGCTAAGCTATGTAATTGTTCTCATTTTGTTGCATTTTCTTAGGGTTCCTATAGCCACGAAGATCTCTTCTTGTTTCTGAAGAGTTGGATCGAAGGAGCTGTTGATTTCTGTAGTTAAGAACTTGTTTACCCGTTATCAATAACTGAAAACTTTATGTAGTATTAAACCAGACTTCCTACTGAACACACGTCTTTCTCTAAAGGTTATGGGCCCAGTTACGTCCGGCCTCTGAAGTTGAAGCTAATTGATTTGAAGAATCCAGAAGTTCGTTACGGAATTACGGAAAAGACGGGAGTGAAGATGTCAAGCGCGGCGAAAGTAGGAATAGTCCAGTTTGCTGGTGAAGGATACGACATGTGAAGGTTCCGGGTCGAAACGCAGTTGTCGGCTCACGGCGTGAAGGAAATGATCACGAAGGATGTACCAGCTGACGAATCGCACAGGAAAGCTTTTCAAGAAAAGGACGAAAAGGCGAAGGCTCTTCTAGTTGCGTACATCGTGGATTCTCATCTGGAGTACGTGCCTGACAAGAACACTGCGGAGGAAATGTGGAACTCCCTGGCAAGCACGTTCGCGAAGAAGGGATTTGCAGCGCAAACATACATTCGGAGGTCCTTAGCAACGCTAAAGATGGAAGAAAGAACACCGTTAAAGGACCACTTCCGAAAATTTGACGAGTTATTCCGCCAGTTGAAGGGAGCTGGTGCTACTGTCACGGAGTTAGATGCCGTAAGTCAACTGTTCATTTCTCTGCCATCGACGTACGATGTTGTCACCACGGCTATGGAGAACCTGGGAGATGATCAGTTGAAGTTGGACACGGTGAAGGCGCGTTTGCTGGCCGAAGAGCAGAAACGAATGGGAAGAGGAGACAATTCATGTGCATCATGATCAGGATCAGCGTTTGCAGCGAAGTCGGAAAGAAGCATGGAAAAGTCCAAGTTTCAAGGAAAATGCTTTGTGTGTGGTGAACAAGGGCACAAGAAGGATGCATGTAAAAAGTTCAAAAAGTGGCCGGAGACGAACCAGCCCAGGGCTGAAAGTCTCCTTAATAAAGATATATATATAAAAAAAAAAAAAAAAAGTTCAAAAAGCGGTATGATTGAGCTCAAGTAGCAACTGTTCCCGTAAACAGAGAAGTGGCGTTGATGATTTCCCAGGAAGCGATCTACAAGTCGAAATTGGACATTGAATGGATATTGGACTCGGGAGCAAGTCGTCACATGGCCAATGATGAGCGGTATTTTCACGAGTTCAAGGAGTTCGACAGACCGCTGGTAATTGAAAGTGCCAAGCAAGGTGAGAAACTTATTGCTACTAAAGAAGGCACAGTGAAAGCGAAGACGTTCATGGATGAGAACAGTCTGACATTGTCCTTGGGAAACGTCTTATTTGTGAAGATCTCAAGATCAATTTGCTGTCATTGTCGCGGTTGCTGAAAGCCAAGTCCAAGTGGAATTCCAGCCGGATCGAGCAGTGTTGTCCAAAAAACGGTGAAACAATAGCTGTGGCGGAACTACGCGGGAATCTATTCATCCTTGCGAAAGATGATGATGATGAGTTGCAGCTATGGCACAAACGGTTTGGTCACTTGAGCTTCAAGAATGTACGACGCCTGAAGCAGAGCGAAATGGTAGATGGAATCGGGGAAATTAAAAATGAAGGTGGATTTTGCGAGTCCTCTGCAGAGATCAAGATGACCCGGTTACCATTCAACAAGAGTCGACCGAGCACAACAAGATTATTTAAGCGTGTTCATACGGATGTTTGTGGCCAGATAACACCGAAAACAGTAGATGGGTATCAGTACTTCGTGTCGATTATCGATGACTATACTCATTTTGCTGTTATATATTTGATGAAACGGAAGGACCAAGTGTTTGATTTCTTCAAAGTACACGAGGCCATGGCAACGGCAAAGTTCGGGAACAAGATCGCAAACTTGAGGTGTGACCGGGGAAGAGAATACTTTTCGAATGATCAGCTTGCGTACTATATGAAACAAGGAATTCAAGTTGAATCAACCGTTGGTTATACACCACAGCATAACGGAGTAGCAGAGAGGTTCAACCGGGCCATTGTGGAAAAAATAATGAGAACTATGCTAGCTGAATCCGGAGCACCGAAATTTATATGGGGCGAAGCAGTATTGAATGCAGTGTACGCAACAAACCGAAGTCCAACTGAAGCGTTGAAACAAAACTGTACCCCGGCTGAATGTTGGCACGGTGAGAAACCTGAGAAACTGAGAGTGTTCGGATGCCAGTCATTTGCATGGGTTCCGAAACAAAAGAGGAGCAAGTTAGACCCAACCGGTTTGTGCAGTGTGATGCTGGGCTACGCACCAACCGGTTATCGTCTGTGGAATCCAAAAACGAGGAAAATGTTCGTGGCACGAGATGTGAAATTCGAAGAGGCAAGTTTTCCATTCAAGACACCAGAGAAATCGCTGGAGGAAGAAGTAGCTTCGAAGATGGTGATTCCTGAAGTTATTCCAGCCGTTGAAGAGATCAATACAGATGACGTGCAGCCAACGAATGAATTTGAAGATGACCATCAAGAGCTGTCCAAAGATGAGTTTGAAGATGTTGACGAAGTTGCTGACAACACTAATGAAGAAGGTGCATCCGCGCTCCCACCACACTCGAAGAATGGGAACAACTGTGAGGAGTGTGTTCCGAGGTCTAGTGGTCGGGAGCGCAGGACCCCAGGTTGGTTAGCTGGTTTTATTACCCCCTATAGAGCCCTTTCTGCTGCTGATGAATCCCAACAGGTTCCGACATGTTACGATGAGGTTGACGGTCATCCGCACGAGACGGAATGGAGGCAAGCAATAGCTGACGAGCTAAGGTCTTTGAAGAAAAACCAAACCTGGACGATGGTGAGGTGCCCTGATGCAGTGAAGCCTGTGCCGAGTAAATGGGTGTTCACGTTGAAGACCGATGCTGACGGGAATCCTGTGCGCTACAAGGCCCACCTGGTTGCCAAAGGGTACATGCAGCGGAAGCACGAGGACTTTGAAGAGACGTTTGCTCCAGTGGCAAAGCTTTCAACTATACGGACGAATCTGGCGATTGCGACGAACCGAAACCTGATGATCCATCAAATGGACGTAACAACGGCGTTCCTAAACGCCTTTCTCCTGGAAAAAGTGTACATGCGTGTTCCAGAGGGGGTAAGCAGTCAACCGAATGAAGCATGCTTGTTAAAGAAATCGCTATACGGTCTCAAGCAAGCAAGCAATGGAACGGTCGCTTTAATGAAGTTCTGGTGAGCATGGGATTTCGTCGTTCCCGACACGACTACTGCGTATATGTGCGTGGAAAAGGGAATCAAATCGCTTACATTGTTATCTACAGGGTGCGTGACGAATTTTTGCAGTAAATTTCAAATAGTAATTTCTCATGCTTGTGCATCATGATTTAGATATATTTGGCAGCATTGGATAGCTTATACTCTTAGGTGTAAGATTTAAACAAACAATGTTGAGTAAATAATGTTTTTAATGGAAAGGGTGTGGACTTTCTGTTGATATGTGGATAGAGCGACCTAATCAAGATGTTGCACTTGGTGGATGATTTGTCCACATGGCAACGGTACAGCAACTTGCTAGGTGGACGTTAAAGTTGCCAGGCGGGACAAGCCGAGGTGAATTGGAGTGTGGAAATAGTATGGTCTGTGTTTAAGCTGCATTCATTCAAATCTTCCAGTTTTTGAAATAGTCGGACAGAACATCCAGGCCTAACTAAAGTTTTCTCGTCAGAGCACGGATCACTCGACCCTTATAGATGATTGCAGTGTCATTCGCAAACATTGACAAAATACCACCATGTTCCGGGTGAAGACGTGGACGTGAAGATGTTGAAGAGGATAGGACCAAGGAGGCTACCCTTAGGAACCCCAGCATCAACGTTGAACGTATCAGGAGGTGAATTGTTTTAGAAGACCTAGAATGATCTGTAGCAGATTTGGATGATCTTGACAAGGAAGATCGGGAAGTTGTATCAATGCAGCTTGTACATTAGGCCATCATGCCAGAAATTGTCAAACGCCTTCTCGATGTCCAATAATGCCATGGCAGATGTATTGGAAACGGACTTGTTCCGCTTGATGATGTTAGTAACTCGTGCGAGCTGGTGGATGATAGAGTGGCCTTTCCTAAACCCGAATTGCTCTTTGAGAAAAATGTTATTATCATTTGCAGCAGACCGCTGAGTATCAACTTTTCGAATAGCTTCGAAATGGAGGCCAAGAGGCTAATGAGGCGATAGCTTCTGGCACTGGTAGCAACCGGTGGAAACTAACGATTTTAAATTGGCCCACACTGGACTAACCTATCGGTCCCAAGGCTGTGTTCCATTTGGTGAATTTTCACTTAAATTTTACGCTTCGAAAATAAATTAAGATGTTCGAAAATCCCTCTGTTGTTGATCGGCCGATTTTCGAGAAGGTGTGCGTCAAAATTGATTCCTTCACACTTAGTTTTTTTTTGCCGAGATGGGCACCACCACGCACCAGCACGCTTGGCAATCTATTTTGCTGGATCTCAGTGAAAAAAATCGAGATTCAGTTATAAACGGGGATTTTGCCGAGATCTCAGCTAACAAACATAACATTTGCTGTACCCCATTCTAGTAAAAATCCCAGTTCTACACTATGTTTGTTTTGATTCGCTATTAAAGTTTGACAGATAAAATGAGGGGTTAGTGGATTTTCCTATGTTTCGAGGGGTGAATCGATTAGCTTGGGACCGAAGATAGTACCAGAGCTGAGCCAAAAAGTTGAGCTCGTTTCTTCGGGACCTTCTGGTCTTAGAGTTACCTCTATGATAATACCTCGTATTATCATGAAGATAAAATTTATAAAAAGCAGGTTATTAGCGATGGGCCCAATTTTAGATCCATAGGTCATCATTAGAGGCATTTCCCCCACATACACGAATACGAATTTTGTTCATTTAAAACAAAAATATAAATGTTTATACTCTAAACATATGAATTATTCAAAGTATATTGAAAGCATGTTTAAAACTAAAATATTTATGTTTGAATTAAATTCAAAAGCATGTTTATTTCGAATTTGGGTAAACGGTTTTTTGCGTGTCATGCCTTTTAATTTCCTTCTTGTTACATTCGGAAAAGTTGCCCCAGCTTTGCTCAACTTCAACAGAAAACGGCCATCCATTCCGAATCCATTCCGGATCCTCCTCCGATACCGAACATGGAAAGAAACCGGTATGAGGACCAGTGGCAGAAACCGAGGCAGAAACGGCAAAACTGACGAAACCGACGGTAGAGTCAACAATCAATACGAAACTAACGATTTTAAATTGGCTCACCACTTTAGTAGCCTATTGGTCCCAAGCAAACGATTAACGTACCCTATTCTAGTTGAAATTCTATTACTACACTATGTTTGTTTTGATTCGCTATGAAGTTTGACAGATAACATCAGGGGTGTGTGGATTCATGCAGAACATGCAGGGGTGAGTGAAATAGCTTAGGACTGCTTGGGACCGTTGTTCTGGTACTGAGTGAGCCAAAAATAATAATGATTTTCTTCGGGACCCAGTGGTCTTAGAGTTACCTCTATGGTAGAGTCAGGGCAACGAAGTGGAATATCAGCGGACGGATTCGGACCTGTTGTGGAAATAAAGGAACTCGCGAGAAATCACTTTAACTACGTTTATTGATCGAGCGCAAAATACAATGCAACCGAACGCGGTAGCAGTTAATTTTGGAATGATAATGATGTTCGTACCCCGAGTGGGCCAAGATATGTAGAGAGAAGTAGAGGTGGGTTGAAGTGGTAACTGTTGTATCGTTCCACAAAAACGACGCTAAAAACACAAATTTGCGCCGGTTCCACTGAATTGGAACCCCCGGACACCCACCCCGACGGGTCCTCGCATCCTGGACCAGGACCCCAATACCTACAGGTCACCCTTAATTGCACCCGAAAAAAGAGCAGGAATTGCGAAGATCTGTATTTTTTCATTTCTTTGCAAACCGTTTTTTTTGCTTTAACCTACACTCAACTACTAAAATAATTCTAAAATATATGTATGTTTATTTTAAACATGAGAAGCATGTTTAAAATAAACATATTTATGATTGTTCGCATAGCTGTCCAACCAAACAAAAATAAATACGTTTATTTTCAACGTGAATATTTTTGAAATAAACGTAACATTATTTTTATTTTAAACATTGATTTCACATGACTTCAACAATGGAATACGTTTGAAATCAACCTAATTTATGTTTGTGGCCAGAACAAACTGAGTTTACGTTTAAATTTACCTCATATATTTTTGTTACGATGATAGTTTTTTCTGCGTGTATGGAATTTATACACTGAAACAAGGACCATAGTTAGGAATACTATTTTGCAGAAAACACTTATTATCAATATAACCACGCTTAGGCCGTTCGCAATGCTGAGTTTCAAAATTGTTTCAAACTACTCGTCAATTCTATAATTTGAAACTGTCAAAAATAAAACTGCAACACGATCAGCGCAACGCACAGTTCTAAAACATGTTTGTAATCATCAAGTTCCATAAACTTTACTGTTCTCTATGAAGTTCTCCGTTTTTTTTTGTGGAGCTCTTCGAAACATCTTCCACACATCCAAAGAAATTTGAAACAGAGTTCCATTCGTGTTTCAAACTCGCTCAGAAATAAAACAGAATAGTCGAGCAGTTACAAATCTGGTGCAAAATAGTGCTCGAATAATGAAACTGCAACTCAGCATTGCGAGAGGTGCGTTTCTGTTCTAGTTTCAAATTGAAACAGTCCTTATAAAATACAACAGCATTGCGAACGGCCTTATTACTGTTAAATATACTATGAATTCAGTTTAGTTTACCATGAATGTTAACAAATTTACTATGATTCTAGCAAAACTACTATGCTTGCTCAAAATGCGCAGAGTATATTATCTATAATGTGAACGGGGTATAAAACTTTATCACACAAACGTTCATGTAAAGTTCCGTAATCATTTCAGCTAAAGTTTAGCCGGGATTGTTTTTTTAAATTATTTTTGGTAAGGTCAAGTAATGGTGCGCGTTTATGCCTCAGGCAAGGTTGCAAAGACTCATTTCAGCTAAAACAATGTTTTTCTAAATTATGAAATAATTAGATGCCATGATCAAATTTTGAATTGGTAGGATACAAGAAGAGGTTGCAAAGAATGTGTTTGACATATTAAACCTGTTTATTTCACTTCATGAGAGTCACAATCAGCGATTTTTCACAAACTCACTCACTCACTCACTCACTCACTCAGCGATCAGCAAATCGCTGATTGTGACTCATAGAAAGCAAAATTTACAGGTTTTATGTTTCCAACGCATACTTTGTAACCTCTTCTTGTAAGTTACAAGTAAAACATGCCATCATACCATCTTTTGGTTTTATTATTCCGAAAAACATTATTTTAGCTGAAATGAGTCTTTGCAACCTTGGCCTCAGGCCGTTCGCAATGCTGTTGTATTTTATAAGGACTGTTTCAATTTGAAACTAGAACAGAAACGCACCTCTCGCAATGCTGAGTTGCAGTTTCATTATTCGAGCACTATTTTGCACCAGATTTGCAACTGCTTGACTATTCTGTTTTATTTCTGAGCGAGTTTGAAACACGAATGGAACTTTGTTTCAAATTTCTTTGGATGTGTTTAAAGATGTTTCGAAGAGCTTCACCAACAAAAAACGGAGAACTTCATAGAGAACAGTAAAGTTTATGGAACTTGATGATTGCAAACATCTTTTAGAACTGTGCGTTGCGCTGATCGTGTTGCAGTTTTATTTTTGACAGTTTCAAATTATAGAATTGTCGAGTAGTTTAAAACAATTCTGAAACTCATCATTGCGAACGGCCTAAGGACTGTTTCAATTTGAAACTAGAACAGAAACGCACCTCTCGCAATGCTGAGTTTCAGTTTCATTATTCGAGCCAGATTTGCAACTGCTCGACTATTCTGTTTTATTTCTGAGCGAGTTTGAAACACGAATGGAACTCTGTTTCAAATTTCTTTGGATGTGTTTAAAGGTGAACTCTGTTTCAAATTTCTTTGGATGTGTTTAAAGGTGTTTCGAAGAGATTCACAAACAAAAAACGGAGAACTTCATAGAGAACAGTAAAGTTTATGGAACTTGATGACTGTGCGTTGCGCTGATCGTGTTGCAGTTTTATTTTTGGTAGTTTCAAATTATAGAATTGTCGACTAGTTTAAGTCAATTTTGAAACTCAGCATTGCGACGAGTATTTATTTTTAAGTGCTCGATTTTGAGTTTTTTCGAGAATTTTTTTCCCTCCCTTTTTATGGCACAGCCCTGTTGGTCCATATTTATCGATTTTGAGTTGTTTCGTTTCTCCGTGTACGATCCGAACTCACACGAGAGCTGTCAGAAGTGAGCGACCAATGCAGTTTTGCACCAGCAAACGTGAATCAAAACAAAGATCTCCGGGATTTCGGAAAATGTGTTGCGGTCGGATTAGATCCTGCTCTGCGGAATAACTCCTGTGAAAATTACGTAACTTTAAGGTAAGCTTCGCTTCTTTAATTAAATATTTTTATGATGGGTGTAATTGGCTGGAAGTGAACAGGCTTACAGATAAACGAGGCCCGGTATGTTTCATCGATTACGTGAAGCGCTGACCAGCGTTATGTGGTAGACTGAAATTTATTACAGTTTTTGTGAAATTCGGTATCATAGAGCTTGCGTGGTTAAAATCCTTTTAGCACAGCAAAATAACCATAACAAATTTTCCTTTTTTATATTTGCAGACCACCCACTACCCCCCATCTTCAGATCATGTCCCAGCACTACAACCGCTTTCTCAAACTGTTGGAACGTTGGCCTGTCGATCAGAGCAAGATTGGCCGTGATCTAGGGCAGTACCTTCGCGATCAGCTGAAAGCCGTTCTCGGTGGAACGAACATAATAGCTGTGAAAGACGAGCGACTCATCAAGCAGTATCAGTCGCTGGAAAACATTGTCAACGACGTACATCTGCGGGCTCATCCCCGCTCGCTCAGTTCGACGGCAACCGGATTGTCCGGAGAGCACTGCCGCGAAGTGCTATCCTCGGAGTTTCTAGAGCATCTAAACAAGAAGGGTGTTTTCGAAAAGTAGGAACAGGATGGCTCTTGGAAGAATGGCCAGTAGGTTAAGTCTAGTATTAGGTGGAAGGAGGTGGACGAATACGCAAGCTGCTCCCCATATTCCGGTGATGGCTGTGGAGACGATAAAATTTCTGAAACCAAAGGATAATGAGCTGTTTCTTGATATGACGTTCGGAGCTGGTGGTCATACACGGGAGATTCTGAAAGTAGCTCCCAATGCAAAGGTCATAGCATTGGATCGAGACCCTGTGGCTCATGAAATGGCACTTGCGTTGGCTAAACAGTACCCAGGACAAATATACCCAGTGCTTGGAAGATTCTCCGAACTTCCTGGCAAGTTAAAACAACTGTATGTAAACCAACAGTCGATCGATGGAATAATATTCGACTTTGGATGTTCCTCGATGCAGTTCGACGAAGGTTCCCGTGGGTTCTCCATCAGTAAAAATGGTCCACTGGACATGCGAATGGACCAGGATCGTTTTCCGGATACACCGTCTGCGGCGGAAATTCTCGCTAAAATTGAAGAAGTTGATTTAGCAAGAATTTTGAAAATCTACGGCGAAGAAAAACAAGCGAAAAAGATTGCCCGGGCGATCGTGGACGCTCGCTATTCGATCAAAAAAATCGAAACCACCAAAGAATTAGCCGATGTAGTGCAATCGTGTGTTGGGAGCGGAAGTTTTCGGTTGGATAAACTTCAACGTCCCAGTCATCCCGCAACAAAGACCTTTCAAGCGTTGAGGATCTTTGTGAATAACGAGCTGAACGAAATCAACTATGGAATGATCCTCGCCCAGCGGTACCTGAAGATCGGTGGCAAAATGATCGCGATCACGTTCCATTCACTTGAAGACACCATAGTGAAACGACACGTGATGGGGAACGTGCTGAACGATATGGCGAATACACTGCCACTGAAATATTGTAGTCATACGATTAGCTACGAGCATGATGTTATGGAAAGCGCGATGAAAACCTCTTGGCACCAGATTACGAAGCATGTGGTTCTTCCGAGTGATGATGAAGTCGAGCACAATCCGAGAAGCCGTTCGGCGAAATTGAGGGCAGTGGTTCGTGTGAGTTAGAATGATCAGTAGAGAATAAAAGTGAGCATGAAATTGAGTTGTATCATTTTATATTTATATTTGGAAAAAAAATTCTTGACAGTTCACTGTGGATGAAATGTTGAAATTCGTAATATAAATTGTTTTCTGATGCCTGGTAACGGTAACATTGGAGCATCTAGGTATCTCCAGAAACGTTTGAGGGGGTTAGAAGGAAAGGGGTGTTAGTGACTTTGAACGTTTTTCTTCATCGACTTTCTCTTTCGTTAATAATTCAGCTGCAAACACATTCCTTGATTCGTGTGCCATTCTGGATGCTAGATGAGAACCTCCTTTATCAAACTATGTGGCAGAAATAGAACAAAATCTGTTTATAAAACTGTGGCTATCCAAAGAGAAAGTCGATGAAGAGAATCGATCAAAGTCACTTACACCCCTTTCCGTCTAACCCCCTCATTTCATAAGCATCTTATAGCGTTAGCGTTGTTATGATATACTTCGTAGATTGGATACTAGCGACACTCACGTCTCTTCTGAAATTCTCAGTTATTATTATTAGTTAGTATTAGTTAATAGTTAGTTATTACGGGAAGGATGATTTGTTTGTAGACAGCAAGCTTATTTTTCATGGATAGAGTAGACCTCCTGTTGATGAGTGGATACAGTGATCTTATCAAGATGTTACACTTGGTTTTGGTTTTGTCAACGTGCTCCCTGAAAATCAGCTTGCTGTCTAATTTTAAGCCGAGGTAGATTACCTCTTTCGACCATTCCACCACTGTGCCGTTCAGGTAGATCTTATTATTCACCGACGGAACAAGTCTGGGAGATTTAGAGTGTGGAAAGATGATGACCTGGGTCTTTGTCGCGTTAATACGGATCTTCCAGATGTTGAAATAATCAGGCAGGACATTCAGGCCTCTCTGAAGTTTGGCGGTCAGAACTCCGATGACCCTACCCTTATAGACGATGGATGTGTCTCTTGCGAACAACGATCCACCATCAGGGAGAGCCGGCATATCGGAGGTGAACAGGTTGAATAGAATGGGGCCATGGATGCTTCCTTGTGAAACCCCCAGCACCGATGTTGAAAGCATCCGATGTGATGCCATTAAAAGAGACTCGGAACGTCCTGTTCGATAGATAGTTGTTAATTATCTTCACTAGGAAGATTGGAAGACCGTACTGCTGCAATTTGAACACCAGGCCATCATGACATACATTGTCGAACGCTTTTTCAACGTCCAACAACGCCATGGCAGATGTTTTCGAAACAGACTTGTTCCGTCTGAGAATGTTTGTTGCTCGAATCAGCTGGTGGACGGTCAAACGACCTTTCCGAAAACCAAACTGTTCCTCGAGTAACAAGTTGTTTTCTTCGGAAGATGTTAGGAGCCGGTGGTAGACTGCTCTTTTGAAAGTTTTGATAACCCTGAGAGAAGGCTGATTGGTCGATAACTTCAAGGAGAGGACGGATCTTTCCCAGGTTTCCGGATGGGTATGACTTTAGCTGACTTGGATGGTGCTACGGAGTCTTATAAGGTCTTTGGTAGATCTGTCAATGTTCAGAGTATTGCTCACCTGTCTGGATACTGGCACGTGTTGTTCCCTGACCCGGGATATCTCCTCCACGATGATAGTTGCGTCGGGAAGCTTGGAATCGGTTGACGGATGAGCCCACTTCGGCCACCATCGGATAGTGGTCCGAGTTCAGCTCCTGGTGGGTCACAGGTTGTCAGGTGTCTCTCATGTTATGTTGCTGACGAAGATGTCGACGATGGAGTGCACGCTGGACCGGCTCAGCCGGGTGGGAGTGTCCACCGCCAGGATGGTGTAGTGAACCTCTTGCAGGTCATCGTTCAGGATGGTGCCATTTTGATTCCGCCTTTGGTTGCCCCAAGCTTGATGTTTGGCGTTCAGGTCGCCAGAGATGATGAATTTTCTACGGCGTCGTGTTATCTTGACAATATCCCTCCGCAGGTCTGCTGCGGATCCATCCCTGGCGTTTGCTTGTTTCGGGTAGTAGGCCGCAATGATGGTGACGGGGCCGACGGGTGGGAAGACTTCCACTCTCAATGCTTCAAACATTTTCAGCTGGAAACTGGGTAGCAGCCGGCAGCAGATTTTGTTCCTGGTAGCGATGGCCACTTCACCACCTCCAGAGCTTGTTCGATCCAGCCTCACGAGCCGAAATCCAGGAATAAATACGTTCATCTCCGGTTTCAGGTGAGTTTCGGTGATGATACCGATGTCGATGGTATGTTCGTTGAGGAAGTCAACTTGTGATTTTTTTTTTTTTTTATTTTTATTTCATCTGATTTTTTTCAGTCTTAATGAAATCTAGGATGGGGAAAAGCCTCTTTGAGTAAACCATTCAATTGGCTCAAAGAGGCGTAAAAACCCCATGTCTTTTCATACATAAAGGGTGATACGGTCAAAATTTGGTCAATATCAACTTGACGTATTTCTTTCAATTTTGCATTTAAAAAACCTGAACACCCCTCATTTTGAAGGTGTGTGTGTGTAGAATGTTGCTCCTATTTTGATTTTGGAATTCACTTTTCAGTTGTCAAAATGCCGTCCAAGCAAGAAGAGCAGCGTATCAAAATTTTGCTCGCGCATCGCGAAAATCCGAGCTACTCGCACGCAAAGTTGGCAAAATCGCTAAAAGTTGCCAAATCAACCGTTACAAATGTAATTAAAGTGTTTGGGGAACGTTTGTCGACAGCCAGGAAGTCTGGATCGGGGGGAAATCGGCAACCGGAAGCCGCTGAGACGACAAAGAGAGTTGCCGGTAGTTTCAATTATTATTTAGCTTTATTTAGGAGGCTTTCAGCCTTAGGCTGGTTCGCCTCCAACCGGTAGTTTCAAGCGAAACCCTAACCTCTCTCTCCGAGATGCCGCAAATAAGCTGGGTGTATCGTCTACAACCGTGCATCGAGCCAAAAAACGAGCCGGACTATCGACTTACAAGAAGGTAGTGACTCCACATCGCGATGATAAACAAAATACGACGGCCAAAGCGCGATCCCGGAGGCTGTACACGACGATGCTGACGAAGTTTGACTGCGTGGTAATGGACGACAAAACCTACGTCAAAGCCGACTACAAGCAGCTTCCGGGACAGGAGTTTTATACGGCAAAAGGAAGGGGAAAGGTAGCAGATGTTTTCAAGCACATGAAACTGTCAAAGTTCGCAAAGAAATATCTGGTTTGGCAAGCCATCTGTACCTGTGGCTTGAAAAGCAGCATTTTCATAGCTTCCGGGACTGTCAACCAAGAAATTTACGTGAAAGAGTGTTTGAATAAACGTCTGCTGCCTTTCCTGAAGAAACACGGTTGTTCCGTACTGTTTTGGCCGGATTTGGCATCTTGCCATTACGGTAAAAAGGCCATGGAGTGGTACGCCGCCAACAACGTGCAGGTGGTTCCCAAGGACAAGAACCCTCCCAACACGCCAGAGCTTCGCCCAATTGAGAAATACTGGGCTATTGTCAAGCGGAACCTAAAGAAGACCAAAAAAACTGCTAAGGGCGAGCAGCAGTTCAAGGCAAACTGGCTTTCTGCGGCGAAGAAGGTGGACAAGGTGGCTGTACAAAATCTGATGGCAGGGGTCAAGCGTAAGGCTCGGCAATTCGGATTTGGAAAAGCGGAAGCCTAACTGAATATTTTTCCTGAATTTTATACTAATTGAACTTGAAAAAGAAATTTAATTTGATTTTTTAAATAAACGATTTCACCGATTTACACGCGTTTTCCCTTGACCAAATTTTGACCGTATCACCCTTTATAACAATAAATAAAATTACAAATTGTCAATACACAGAATACGTTGAATACAAATGAATACAAATGATAAACATATTAAAAGCTAGGTCAATAATCTAAAATAATTGAACACAACAATCTGCAAATGCATCACAGCTCACGCGTCGGAGGGTTGGAAACTCGGCGTAGTGTTGTAGAAGGACCATGTATTTAAATACAGCAGGTAATACACACTTTTGAAGTAGCAGTGATTGGACAGATACTCACCGCTGTGCATTGAGGTGGCGTTGAAAAGTGGCAGCAGAAACATTGAAGTCAAATTGTCCACTAACATCGTTAAACCGAGAAGACATTATCCTGATAGGATCGTGTTGACCATACCGGCTGTTCCGGGTAGCAAGGTGCAGGAAATTACGTTGCCTCAAAGGTCTTTGCGGCGCATATACGAGCAATTCAGCAAGAATATCTGGGGCATCGATTTCATTGGTCATTACCTTAGCGACGAAGATAGCTTGCAAATTGGATCTTCGCTTCTCCAGAGTATCGATGCCTAACAGCATACAACGATGTTTATATGGAGGAAGATTTGACGAATCACGCCAGGGTAAGTGGCGAAGAGCGAGGCGCACAAACTTTTTCTGCACCGCCTCGATACGGTCAATCCAGTTTCTGTTGTACGGGCACCATACCAGCACGGAAGATTCCAAAATAGATCGAACCAGTGCACAGAAAAGGGACTTCAGGCAGAGAGGATCACGAAATCCATCAGCAAGCTTAAACATGAAGCCGAGCTGTTTATTAGCTTTTGCAATCACGTCTTCGTAATGCGGTCGGAAAGTGAGTTCGCGGTCCAATATCACACCGAGATCCCTAACCTGATACAAGCGCTCGAGAGTTTGTCCACACATGCTGTAGTTGAAATTGATTGGTTGCCACTTCCTGCTGAACGATATTGTGTTGCATTTGGCTATGCATAAATCGAGTAGGTTTCGCTTGCTCCAGTCCTCGAACAAATCTAATAACCTCTGCAACTCCAGGCAATCCTCAGTGCACATGATGATCATAAAGATCTTAACATCGTTGGCATAGAATATTCACTGTCCACGTGGCAACACAAAGGCAATGTCATTTATGAATAATGAGAAAAGCAGCGGTCCAAGATTACTCCCTTGCAGTACGCCAGAAGGAATCATAAACGGCTCCGAATGTGACGAACTAATCCTTACTCTCACGGATCTTTCAGACAGATATGATCGAAACCAGCTAACAAGCGCGGAAGATGCCCCCAGCTTCTAG